ATCTGTACAGGAGATTATAATGTACAGGGGGTTGCTTTTTTCCTCTCTCTTCCATCAAGCTATCCAATTGCATTTTGATTGTTTTAAGGGGTTGTTCTTTAGACCTAAGGCATAAAGCCTCCTCTGTTTTATTCCAGTTTATTTGTGCATTTACCTCCCTAAAACTTGTTTGGTTTACTACCATACTAAATGCTGTATGTGTTGCTTTCAGCCAGGCAAGCCTTATGTTTCAATTATGGAGGAGTTTATTCAGCACCTGTATTGCGTTGTGCTTCTTTTCAACTAAATTTCCATTTCCCAAAGGCTATATGCATGAATGTGTATACATCTCTTTTTTCTGTATGTATACACACACACAAATCTATACATTTATACATATATACAAATAAATCATCTTAACTGAATGCTCATTTTCATTGCACCTTTGAATTTCTCAGATATCCGAAGCCTTCATAAACATCCTTAGACTTAACAAGGTTTTAATTTTTCTATCATCTATCTTTGTAATCAAACAGAACAGAATATAATGAATGGAAGCCTTGTTTACCTACCCCCGAGGTGTCTTAAATTTCAAAATTATCTCTACTTTTGAGAAGGTAAAGCAGCAAAAGAACTGAACTATTCTTTTCATACTGTATTTTTCTAGCTGCATTGAATGCTTATCGAGTGAGGTTCGGGTCAGGTAGGAACACCAACCTAACCACAGGACTGCAATGGTGGATTTCAAGGAGGTTTTGGGGGCTTTTTCGCCCCCCCCCCCCCCCCCCCAAAATAAGGGCTGAAAGAATGTTGTAGCTCTCAGGTCTATGGAAGACTCTTGCTTTCCCACTGCACGCTATCTCCACTCTTTAAGTGCACTCACCCGCGTGTATTTCAGTAAATCTCAGTTAAGTGTGGAATGCTGATTTCTTCTGACTTCTTAAATAGAATATTATGGAGACCTGTGTGTTTTAAATTAAAACACATTCCAGGCCTTGGGTACAAGCAAGCTTCGACAGAAAAGGCTGTTTAAACCTATGGGGACAGTCCTATATTTAGATTACATTAATTCATAAATATTATACTAAATACCACTTAAATTGGCCTTAAATGACTTCAAAGATAATGCATTATAATATGGCTGTCCTGAGAGCACTAACCTTTATGTCTCCCAGTAACTCAGCCTTTAAGCATACTCCACTGCTAGATAAGAAGGGGGGAAGTTATGAATGAATGGCTTGCTAAATTGTTCAAGTGTGATTAGTTAACTCTGTGCGTGTGTGTGTGTGTGTGTGTGTATGTGTGTGAGCGCATGGGTGGGTCGGCTCAGCCCCCGTAGATTTCGACCCGTGGATCTCAGCACACAGCCTCTTCCCAGCCCTAGAGCAAAGTACCACAGCAGGAGCCTGTTCCTGCCCCGTGTGGAGAGAAGCGAGGACGGGGGAAATATGCAGCAGCTACGCTCGTGCCATGAAAGCTTGTTTTCTTGGGGATCTGGCAAGCCTTTCCCGCCTTCCCTCACACGATGCTTCCCCCGTACCCTTTTCTCTCTTTGCGTGTCTGCAAGAGAATTGTGCTCCCCTGTCTCTTCCCTGGTATCTGGCCTGGTATCAGCCAGGGCTGCTGCTGAGAGAACCTGGGACTTCACTCTCCTTTTGTGATAGTTTTTTGGGGAGAGGGGCATAGTCCTGTACTTTATCTTCAGGTTCTTAATTTTCTATTTCCTCCTGCTATATAGGAGCACCACAATAGGATCTCTTCATAATATTTTCAAGAATACATATCCTGTGCTCTCATTTCAATGAATTTACACCTGAAATTACTCTGGTTGCTACGTTTTTACTTTAAGCTAATTCCTCTCCCTTCCCTCCTCCCAACACAAACCCACCTTCTCCCCCTCCACACCCAAGGTTTGCTCTCTGTACACTTAAATAAACTACAGCCCACTATTAACCCTTCAGGGTATACTACAGCCACAGGCTTATCCCCTGGATTAGGAATGAAATCAACTGAGAGTGATGGATCAATTAATGTATAAGCATTATGCATCACTTATGGAAAGCATCTTGGGGTTTCATATTGCCAACCTACCCCTGAGAGCCAACTTGGGCTATCTTTACGCAATTCTTCACCTATGCCTGCAAAGCAAAGCCAAAATAAGGAGATCTGAGTGAATACTATGCTTCACATGACTGCATTTAGGGAAGGGAAAAGAAAAAAATAAATTAAAAATGAAAGAAAATTAAATAAAATAATGAAAAAAAAAGCCAAACACAATTCTCATCCTTCAAAGCCCTATCATGCTTTTTGACTTAATAGTAATTAATCACTACTGGCAAGAAAGTAATTTTTTTCCAGGTAGCCAGAGGCACATTTTTATCAGGATTAGCTAATAAATCAGCGGCATCGCTAGAAAGGAGTTCAAACTCTTCTCGGATGTACTAAATAAAACCGATCACTGAAACGCTGGCAACTCGGTGTCTATTGAAGCTTCACTCAAACCCTAACCTGTGAAATAACAATCATCATCATCATTTTTCCTTCCAAAGTCCAAAACTTCTAGGAGGTTAAAAATGACTGTTTCTTTCAAGATGAACTCATGCAATTTGGTTTGATGAGGTGACAAGATTTCCCACCTGGCTTTTTTCCTAGGTTGCAGCTTTAGAACAGAAATGAAATGAAGGGAAATGAAGTTAGTATCTTGCTTAATTCAGGAATATGTGTTAAACACATCCAAGCAAGATAAATGATCCCTCTCTCTCCCTGCCTCCCTCCCCCCCTTCTGGAGTTTGTCTCTGTGAATACAGGCATACAGTAAAAGCAAAACTGAACTGAAAGAGGAAGAATTCACATCTACGAAATAGAAATTAAAGTTAACGCATAGATTGATTAGTTACAGGTTTAAGAAGGAACATAACAAAAGAATAAAATCTCATCAACAAATGAAAATAACCTCCCACCACCACAAAAATCCTTTATTAAGGTGTTAGCTCAAAGATTTCCTCTACACTATGTTGAGTGATTCTCTTCAGTGTAGCTTTTACTGTTGTTATTTTTATTTTACAGAAACCTTAGATAATTTTTGCAAACACACGCGTGCACACATGAGCTCAGTGGCTACTCTCACTATGCCTCATCTATCAGACAAAACCTCCCAGGACCTTTCTTTCCCTGTGCTTCTTACTATTATTTTTATTGTTATTATTAATAATTATTATAGTATGGATGCCATGTTTAAATGATGCCCAACAGACCTTGATGTGGTTTCTAGGAAGCTAGTCTGAAAAGAAAGCAAGGTTCGAAAGGGCTACACTGATCATTGTAAATACGAGAAGGGTGTTTGGAGCGACTGGCAAGAAAGGAAGAAATATCCTATAACTTGGACTGAGTCCCCGGTCCCTGAGCCCTGAACATTTTCTCTAGCCTGTGCAAAACTGGTACTTTGCACTGTCAGGGTATATTTTCATTCGCATTTCCTGAGGGTGGAAGAGAGGAGGGGAGTGAGTGGGAAGGGGGAAGAAATGCCTGCTAAACATGCCGTTAAGTTCAAGATTTACAACTCGCCAAGGCATCTGGAAAGCCAGTAATGCCATTACCAGTGACTCTCCCTGCCAGGAGTCCACCAAGCTGGAGTAGACACTGCTACTGAACCTCTCCTGTAACAGATGCAACTTCCACTCCCCCCATGGCCCCCTGCAAGACCCTTTCTCCTCCTGCACCAAATCTGGAGTCACACCCCAATCACTTCTGATCTAATCTTTTTCTTTTTTTTTTTTTTTAATAACTACATATCTAATGAAATAAACACACACAAACACATATATACAGAACCTGAGTTAATAAAGTGGCTTCCTTCGCTCCTGGGTCTCTCCTGCTCCAAAGTGGGGCTACCATGCAAATTATCTTCAACTTCCTCCCTGCAAGTCCTACTTTCCTACCCGAGGATCCGAGCATCTCTCCCCCACTACACACACCCTCCCCCACCCCCAAAACGTAGCATCATCTAATCTGAAATGCACCTCCGGAGAGCCTAAGCTAAGCAGGGAAAGGAGCGGGCAGAGATGGAGCGAGCGAGGCGTCGCATGGGGAGTACATCTCCACTGCCTTTAAAGAAAACCTAAAAAGTTCCTGGGATGGACTTTGGGCACATTAAAGTACTGCTTGGAATATGCCTGCTCAGAGACTTCTCCCCTCTGGAACTAAACTGCCACCCGTCCCTCCTGGCTCACCCTCTCGAACACACACACATACAGAGACAGACACATCGTGATTTCGTACCCCCACCCCCCCCCACCCCGCTTGAGGTAGGCTTTTTTATTGTTGTTTATATCCCTGTTCCCACGCTGAACAAAACCAAAATGAAATACACCCACCCCCCCTGGAGAAACTCACTCTCCTCCGCCTCTGGCTTCGGAGTGGACTACAAATAATAACTGTAACAGCAGTAAAAATAATAATAAAAAAATAAAATAAAAAAAAAGAAAGAAAGGAAAAGAAAAGGCGCCGTGCCAGATACACAACAGTTGTAAAATAGGGGCTTCCCAGCTCCGCGCAAACACACGGACAGACACACACACACACACACACCCCGGGTGGAAAATGTGCGGCTCCCAAAGATAAATAAAGAAATCCTCTTCCTCGTTTTCAGCACCACCGGCGTGCGGACAGCTGCCTGCCAGCCCCGCCGCCCGCCCCGCCGCCCGCCTGGGCGCCCCGGCTTTCGCAAGTGGCTGCATCTCCCCCCCCCCCCCCAAAAAAAAGGGGGGGAAAGAAATAAAAATACTACTAAAAAAACCAGACGGAGCTGACTCCTTTGCCTGCCTCTTTCTCTTCTCTCTCCAGGAGGGTCTATTATTTCTTTCCCTGCCCCCCCAGCCTGCCGCCTCTGCCCCCGAGCCAAGCAAAGATGAAATAAAATGAAATGAAATCGAAAGGAAAGAGAGAAAGAGAGACCCAGAGAGGGAGAGGGAGCCTGCCTTCCTCTCCCGATCTCTCCCGGGAAAGTTCAGGAGGTAACTCACCTTTGTGCATGCCAGTGAACCTGTCCTTCAGCACCGTCAGTTCATAGATCTTCCCGAACTCCTCGAAGAGCGGTTTGAGGTCTTTCTCGTCCAGGTTACGGGGGATCTGCCCAATAAAGAGCTTAATGGCATCGTGGTCCTTCATTGGGATGGTGGATGGGTTTCCGGGACTATGGTTTAATCCGTTCATATGCCCGTTGGTGCTGGGGTTGCTGTGATTGCTACTCAGGCTGGTATTGTCTGGTTGTCCGTTTGCTAACGTGGCCATCTTTATATACATAGAGAAAATCTTCTTTCCTTTTTTTCCCCCTCTTCTTTTCTCTCTCCCTCCCTCTCTCCCTCTCTCTCTCTCCCTCTCTCTCGCTCTCTCGCTCCCTCTCCCTCTTTCACACACACACACACACACACTCACACACACACACACTCCTCCCTCTCCGTCTCTCTCTCTCTCTGGGTCTGATCTGATTTTTTTTTTACATTGAAGATCTGTGTCCTTTCCGTTTAAACAGGCTGGATCGGTTCAAATTCCCAGCCAGACTAGGGGGTGGGGTGTGAGTGCGGGGATGTGTGTGTGTGCGGGGAAGGGAGGCTGGGGGTGGGGGATTGCTTTTGCCTCTACTCTGGCTAAACCCCCTCCTCCCATCCAACCACCCCCCTGTCTGTCTGCCCGGGAGAAGCTTAATGGTATCTTCCAACACAGCCCCTGGCTATAAATAGCACTAGGCGCATGGCTCTTTGAGAGACAGTCAATTTCTATTGTGCCAAGTGAGCAAAGGGGAACGGTTGCGTTTTTAGGACCAATGATGATGATTTTTTTTTTCTTCCTTTTCCTTTGCAAGCCCTCCGATCAATCGCTGTCGTTATAATTTCAGTGATCATCGGGAAATCTGCCTTTTTGTTTGAGAGGGGGAAAAAAAACAATCCCAAGGTGTTCTGACTTCTTCCTATTATGATGATGTCTCTTATTTATTATTTACTCTTATTATGATTTCGCAATTGATAATAAAAGCAGTTCAGATACGGACGAATCCTCGGGCTCAGAGGTTGCTTTTGCTGTTGTTGTTGTGGTTGTGATGTTACAGGCTCTCTTTACTATATCTGTTCTTGTTGCATCTAAAAAAAAATGCATGCTCTTTAAGCTCTTTTTTTTAATTATGCTGCTGATGATGACATCAAACTAGGAAAGGCGCAAGCTGTGTTATTGTAGCTCTTTGGAGGGAGACGAAAAATACCGAGATGACTATTGTTAATTTTCATGCTGCCGATATTTATTTTATGTACAATCAGTGCGGGCGTTATCTCCTATACTAGCTGCGTGTGGTGTGTGTGTGTGTGTGTCTGCGTGTGTGTGTGCGTATTGGAAAGGGATTGATTAGATAAGATTTTCTTGCCTGACTTTCAAGCCATCAGGATATTCTGTCTCTCTCTGATGGAAACATAAATCGTATTTTGTAGTCATCAGGGATCGGGAGTTGCTTGTCCGAACAATGCTCTCTAGACAAAGTGTACTGTATGGTGGAAATGAAATCAGCTCTCCTTTCATAGCATCTGGGGGTGGGGAGGGCAGGGAGCCTCGGATTAAGGACACAACTCCCCCTTGTCCCCCAAATAACGATAACAGTAATCCGGACAGTAACAAAACAAGGCTCTGCGTGTGCTCAGAGCAATTTTTTTTTCTCTTTTTTTTT